ACTTGTCCAAATAAGGTGTCGCGTTCAGGACTGCTAACTTTCCCTCGGCATCAAGTTCCATGCTGAATATGAAAACCTATAAGGCGGTTTAGGGTACAGCAGCTCAATAGTTCTTTGGCAGAAAGCACTTGATAAACTTTTAACCATTTCGTGATGTCCTTGACCCGGGTTGAGCACCACCGCTCGGTCGCAAACGTTGCCACTCCCAGATCGTGATGAGGCAGACCTTACTCGAAATTTAGTATTCTACAGGTTAAATAAGCTAAGTAAAGGCAGTCTATGTTGCGCACTGCCATACATGATCGTACATTCCGGCACAAAAATGCAAACCTCTGCTCAAAACTAGCAGGGCCACCAAAATGAGCAAAGATATACTCGGGGAATGTTCGGTCATGAAGACATGCGTCGCTCTTCTCGGACCAACAGTCCGCTCGTTTTTGTCCAATTTGCCATGCTTGATTATCACCCGCCGTGTTTTCTTCATCCATCTATAAAAAACAGTAGGTAATGGGTCAAAAAAACATCCATCTAAACAGGAAAATATTTAGTTAATGGAGGACAAAAAGAAAGCTTAACCAGTAGCACCAAAAAGGTAATAACATCGATTTCCGCAGCAAAAACTATTAGCCATATGTACGCTCCAGAATACAGACGAATTCTTTTATTGGTGAATACTGCCTGGGGGGAAAAAACGACCAATTGGCAGCCTGCGAAAAGGTGGAGTCCTTGCACTGAAAACGCGATGCGTGTGTGAAAAGTTTGCTACGGTTAGAGACCGGAGAAGGAGGGCGAAGAGTAGGGATGGAAGTGGACGTAAGCGGATTCTGGTGGCATCCTGGGGTAGGCGATGGGAGGGGGAGGAAGAAGGGGGAGGCAGTGGGGAGTGCGGAAGGGAATTTGCTTCAATTTAACTTTTAAACCCGAACTTTTCTGTCACCAGTGCCTGTCCCCCTGTGGAGGAGGTGGGAAAAACTCAATGCCCTCACCCCTCTTCCCCCCGAATCTACCTACGGAAGTGGACGCCGTGGAAGGGATCGAGGATGGACAACCCCGGGAATTGCAGTAATGCTGAAAGCAGGAATAATACTGCACATAGTAAGAAGCTGGGAATTCACTGCTTTGCTAACAAAAACAAGTAAGCTTTTTCTACATACGATTGCTTTGGATCCGCTGTTCGTAAAGCTAATTCTTAACATCACCCTACTGTCCCAGAACAACAATGCTTAATCGTTCCCGCGCACTTAAGTATTCTCTGGTACTTCTTACCGGGTCCTGCTTCCTTGGTTCTTCCCAAAGGTGCTGATCGAATCCATATATTTCTGGTTCCACGCTTTGGACAAATGCATGGCGAATTACGAAAAAAAATACAGTACTGTACAGTACCTTCGGTTCTTTGGCGCTGTCCTTCCTGGTCTCCCGATCGAATTGCCTCATGCGCAGCGCAGATGGCGAGTACAGCTGGCAGAGTTCGTTATGCAACGGATAGGCTGTGCCCACAATTGCATCGTTGACCATCGTGATGTAAGCCGTTCGCCCGGCGCCATTCTTCTTCTTCAGCCAATCACAGCGCGAGCAGCGATAGTAAGCTCGAGTTGCTTGCTTCGTACTTTGCCTGTACACCCGGTAGCCATCGTTCTCCGCTATTCCGATAAGCCCCAGGTTGCCGCGTCGATTCAGCAAACGTATTATGTTGACTTTGCTTATCTGAAAACACAGGATTCGAAAGAAACGATCAAGCAATAAAGTAAAATTAAGCAGATATTACAGGATATTAGAAAGAGATGTGAGATTTATTTAAACTTCATGTACAACGGAGACATCTAGGAAGCAATCTGCGTTTTATTCCTTGACTGTAAATACTGACGGGAAAAATTGTGCAGGCAGGAGTGAGAACCATAAAAAACAGATATTACAGAAGTTAAATGTGAGATGCAAGGGCGACGAAATGAGTAACTTTGGAGAATAGCTAAAGTATTAGTATGGCAGGTCAAGG